GTACCCACGTTGTGTTATCATGACACAAAGCTGTATCTAAAGAAGATATCAACATACCGGTACTGGGGCACATCTAGGACAGTCACAACTACCAGTAATTTCCAATTTCAAAAGAATTTCCATAAAAAGAATTAATATCATCTGAATTGAAGTCAAATTTGAGAAGTTATGATGCCAGGGTGATGAGCATGTTTGCCTAGACTTAGATTCAGGTGTACCACATAGCAACAACATGTACCAGAATAGTGGTTCTGCAACATTTGGTTCTGCGACTTTTGCTTCACGTCAATATCCTACACCAACTGATTGTCAACTTCAACTTTGGAGTTTGGACCCAAAACAATCCAGACCTTAACTCTAAATCTCATTTCAAAGTTTAAACCCAATAAGGCCCGTTTACCGATTTTATGAATAATTCTTTTTAAAAGTTTCCTTTTTTTAAAAACTAGTCAGAGTATTGCCAGATATAGCAACAATAGGTGTATGCAAAGTGGATCCCATATATACAGTGCGTCCCAGAAAAAACGAAACCGAGAAAATCAATAAACAAAATTCACAAAAGACTTAACTCCGTTTCGTTGATAATCAGCCGTAGACGAGAGTCTTCATGCATGGCTGATTGTCAACAAAACGGAGTTAAGTCTTTTGTCAAATCTGCTTTTTGCTATGGCAGGCACCCAGTGAAAACGAATTCGTTTGTTAAAATTATGAAAATGTAAGGGCTACTTTAAACAAACAGAACTTTGTTATTCCTCGCTCATTTTTCCTGATTGAGGTGTCATATGAAAGGGCAGAAAGTCAACTTTCTAGAAATGTGAATTTTTCTTCGAAATTCAGATACCACCTGCCAAATGTCTTTTTGGTTTCCTTCCTTCAAATTGCTTTTAATCACTCATGCATGAAATATGCATCATCTGAGTAGCATCAACTGGAAGAGGAGACTCTAAGCTTTCCAAATATGTATCATTCATTAATTATGGTTGTGATTAAGTTATGATAAAACATCGATACTTCTCGGTTTCGTTTTTTCTGGGACGCACTGTAGAGATATTAACAGATGAATTGTATAGTTAATATACAGGAGTTCTGCAAAGAAACGTTCCTAAATTGTAAACTGTAAAGAAACATGCATTAATTGAAAACTGTAAACGGGTCTTACCTTTCTTGCATGACTTGGTAGTACCCATCTTTAATTAAATGACACAAAGTGACATACCCTAAAACCCTAAAGAGTTCTGAAGTGCTAACGTCATATTTGCTTGTTGTCTCGGTTACTGGTTCCAAACAACAGAGCCTGTGCATGAGGTTCACCGCGACATCATTCAAGCAACGGGCTGGAGCAGGGCAAATTCAATGTTTGGCGCTGGTGTGATCACAACACCATTGTTCAGCACAAATTTGTTTGGATCAGCTACCTTGACAACTTGGCTAATTTGACATCACACTTTGGTACTCTATGGTTAGGGTGTGTCACTTTGTACATTTGACAAATAAAGCAATGAGTGATTGTCACTTGAGCAAATGTTGGATCATGAACATCATAAGTACTTAAGTGGGTAATAAATTGCTTTGGAGTAGGGAGAGTTTTACATGTACGTACACAGCTCTGAAAAAAAAAAACTTTAATGTACATCTCTAGGAAATCTCATTTTTATTCAAGAAATTTCAAAAGATCTCACATCAGATTGTTTTCACAAAATACACTCTTCACCTCCAAGTTTACAGCCTCCAACAAACTTGACAGTAATCCTATATTTTTTTAATAAGATCACATCATTGTCAGGGACAGGATTTTTTTTTTCCAAATCTCTTTCTCTCTTGTTTCCATCGAATGAAAAGGTCAACGTGTGCTCATTTCACAGCGTTTAAAACAAATTCAACATTCTTGTTTTTGTATGCATCTGCACGAACGATGCCGCTGCAATGCTACTGTGTAAGGTGACTCCCAAGCTAGTCTATCCTTTCCAGACCCCAAGGCAATGTACTGCTTAGGTTTTTCACAAAGGTGGACCGATTCTGAATTACATTTCTGATGTGTAAGTTATCATATTTCTGATGACGTGTTTCTACATATATCTCATTAAAACTGAATATTTATATAATAAACAACGACTCAATAAAAATACATCTATGTCTATGATATCTAAATATCTATCCTTCTGACAGTTATCTCAAAATTTGTATAATGACGGATCAATAAGAATTGCTAAATATCAGCATAGAATGATAAGAGATAGTTAATAAACACTCTGACATTGTAAATTAAAAGAAAATGAGACCTTCAACATACATCGTACATCATAAGAGCCAGAATGATGTACAGTATAATGTGGACTGTGGCAGGTAAGATACAGGGTAATGCCATTTTCCGCTCTCCCCAGACAACATGCAAAATTCTACTTCCAAAAGGTGAAGTCTTGAAAGAAAACTACTCATGGTGCCAGTGCGACCAGGTTTTTGAGAAAAGCAAGATCAGTCGGGAGTTTGAGATGTGTTGGTTGTGTAAGATTACAGGCTAGCGCACGCAAGTCCGACATGTTTTATTAATGCCTGGGACTGTGGCATTTTGTTTCTCAGTAAACAGCCTCTCCTAAGCAGCACTAATCATTCAGCCCGATTTCATTTCCCTCCATGTACATGTTCCGCCGGGAAAATGTGAAAATAAACATGCACGTGAGGCACACTCTCTTACATACTCGGTTTGAAGAGTTGCCGCGCAGATTGGATCATTCGTGAAATTCTGGGTCTACGACATGAAGAGTTAAGCAAAGTAAAGGCACATCAAACTCCAAGTCTTGACCTTTGGGATTTGGGGGGGGGGGGGGGGGTGTGGGGGGGGGGTGTGTACTACTGCACTGAATATTGCAATGATGAAGATATTCCGAAATGCGAGTTTGAAAAGCGATGTATTCACTTTGGACCATGGATGTCCATGAGTTTGAACATACATGTACTGTACACTGAAAACAGTGTGATGCAAGAACTAAATCTCTGAATTACAGCATGTGCATTTGCTTCGGAAATTATGATTATACTGTAGATGCAATGTACAATGTAGCGCCTACATTGTACATTGCATTGACAGAAGAACTAGAATTTATGTGTGTTTACAAATGTTGTGTACCGTATTTGCAGGCGTAAAGGCCGCCCCGCCGCATAGGCCGCACCCCCAACTTTGACATTTCGTAGAGAGAAAAAAAAAAAAAAGGAAAAAAAAAAAACGGACCAAAGAAAATAATCATAATTTTCTCGTAGAACTCTATTTTTCCTACAAACTAATACCAAAATTATCAATCATTTTATAAATTTACAGGAAGTTTACCTAAAAAATGATCATAATTTAGCAAATCTTCATCGATTTTTAGGCAGATTAGCACATTCATTGGACACTAGAGGGCGCTTCGCATGCATACAGAAACATGAATGGCCTGCCATAACCAAGCTGTGGCCATAATGTTATCCGGTCTTACCCCTATCGTACCGCCAAATGGAGAAAATAAACAAGCTTTTGTATTGTTATTAGAGATCTACCGAGGTTAGTTTGTCGCTTTAATTAATTAGATAGTCTCAATTATAATTCAGAATTATCTTACTGAAAAGTTAAGAACACCGACGATTGCGCGAATCTCCGAAGCTGCGTTGGATTTGTTGCAACTCCCAGCCCGGTAGCTCCCCACCAGAGAGTGTGTGAGCGAGGTATGATTTTGGTTACTGGGCTATGCGCTGTCTAAGCCAAGGACATTTTTACAAGAACGATTTTTAGTACGAGTTTCTGGTCAGTTTTCTTCTTATTTCTTTGGTTGCACAACGATTAAAAAGATAACTTCTTCAAATTTGCTGCTGACGTGGTTCAGACTAGATATTGTTCAATGTGTTTTCAAGTCAATTTTGTTAATATATTTTTTTGTATGAAGTTGCCTACAAATAATGGACGTGCTGTTTTGACTTGCGATTTTTACTGTTTCGGCGTATACGCAGCACCCAAACTTTTTGATATTTTCTCTTCCAAAAATACTGCGGCCTTTACGCTGGCAAATACGGTACATGTATATCAGCATTGGCAAAGAAAACCATCCTATTGCAAGGGTCTGAATCCATTCCATGGAAATTAATCAAAGTACACTTAAATTCCACTCCATGTCAAACATCATCTACACATTAGATGTGTAAATGTAAAAAAAGCATTGCTGCCTCCAAGCTCCCTCTCTGCCTCCCTCCCTCCCTTCCTCCCCTCACTCACTCCCTCCACCCATCCCCTCCCCCCCCCCCCCTCTCTCTCTCTCTTTTCTCTCTTCCTCTACCTCCTCGCTCCCTCCCCTCTCTCCCTACACTACTTTCTCTCTTTCTCTCTCTCTCTCTTTACCTCTTGGTTTCTCTCTATCCCTCCCTCACTCCCCCCTCCCCCCCCCCCCATCCTTCTCTCTAGATCTACACAACCAAACGTTCCAATCCGTAATTGTCTGAATTACACTTAAAAGAACCCCCACCGCAAGGGCCTTAAAAGGATGGATGAAAGTTAACCAGAAGTACACTTTAAATTCCTCTTCATGCCAAACACAATCTGCAGTAGATGTAGACATACTATTGCAGATTTTCCCAAGCATCTCCTCTCCAATCTTCATTTGTATCTTCCTTTCTCTGTGAAGCACTGCTGTCTCCAAGCTCCACCCCCCCCCCCAACCCCTCTTCTCTCCCTCCCTCTCTCTCTCTCTCTCTCTCTCTTTTTCTCTCTTTCTTTCTCTCTCTCTTTCTCCATGTCTGTCTTTATCTCTTTCTTTCTCTCCATCCCTCCCTCACTCTCTCCCCCTCTCTCCCCCCGCCCCCTCTTCTCTCTCTTTAGATCTAAACAACCCAACGCTGCAATCCATAATTGTCTGAATTACACTTAAAAGAACCCCCACCGCAAGGGCCTTAAAAGCATGGATGAAAGTTAACGAGAAGTACACTTCAAATTCCTCTTCATGTCAAACACAATCTGCAGTAGATGTAGACCATAGAGATATATACTACTAAACACTAGAGGGCGTACTCGCTCAAATTGCTGCTCCGAGCTGGAGCGGTGGCCGCCATTACTAAGGAGGGCAGAAAAACGGACGACCCAACAAGATACTGTGCACAACATACGTGGAAAAATTGAAGAAGCCAGGTTCGTGCGTTGCATTTGGATGTTCGAACCGAAGAAAGAAAGGGAACTGCATAATATTTCACAAGTAAGTTCTTCTTAATGTTATGTTGATTAATAAGGAGATTTTAGAGCTAAAAATGTAGTTTATGCAGATAATGCAGTGACTGTAGTCTGTACCCGGGTTGTCTCATGACAAGCCACGGCAGCTCCTGCAGCAGCGGAGCGCGCCAGTCCACGCCCCCCGGGCTGGGGCAGGCATGGGTTAAGGTTCTGGGGATGGTGATGGGAAAATTCTGCTGCGCTGGAGTCGCTCGCAACTCCAAGAGTCAGAGAGTCCAACTCGGAAATATAACTCCATGAGCTTGATTCTATTAAAGAAAAGTCTAGAATAAAATGATATAATTAATTTGATCTTATCTAATTTCAAGATAAATTAAAAATCAAATGTCAGCTTCTTTATATTTTAACTAGACTAGAGTCTAGACTAGAGCTAGATGATAGATCTAGACTCTAGACTCTAGATCTAAACTCTAGTCTCTAATTTCTAAAGCCTGAACAGCAAAGCCAGGTTAGACAGAAATAACCGTCTGATATGGGTCATTTCTTTAATAAAACTGACATTTGTTGACATTCCCCATAATATAATCAGAGGTCTAGTGGAGCCAGACGCAGTCTCAGTAGAACAACCGACGATATAGAGAGACTGAAGCTTTTGGTCTAAGCCAGGCTAGCCTGCCATATTTCACATCACAGGAGTTATTCAACTAGGCTAGGCAAGCCTAAAAATCCCACCGCACACTACACTATTTCTATCAAATTTGCTTATGACTTGCTGACATTATTATTATTTTATTTATTTGGCTGGAAGCTGCTTTCAGTTTCAGTCTTAAAAATCACATGAAATAGCATGAATAGTAGAACAATTGTCATGTTATGAGAAAAAACTCATTATTGTTTCCATTTGCTTTTATTGTAATGCAGGAATACACTCAAGAGAGGAAAGGATGTTACACACCACATCTCATTCCTAGAGCTGTGCCTACTGTCTTTCCTGGACATCCTCCCTATAAACAGACCCATGGCTCAAGACTCCCAGCAAAACCATGTACAACATCCGAAAGTGTTCCCGTGCCTCCAAAGAAACCCTATGACATTACAAAAGAACATGACTATTCTTTTTCTGTCTGAGTTGATTAGAAACTGAATATAACCAGACAGCAAGTGCAGGATGCCAAGAAGCAGCTTCAAGTGGTGAAACAAGGTAAACAGGAGAGATGGAAAAACCAGGACTCTCTTGCAGGAAGTCCACGAAAGCAAGCTCATTAGCCAGGATCAGCTTGACCTACTTCAACACAACTTTGGAGAGAACGCATTTTCAGGAAAAAAAACCAAAACATAGAACTTCATTCGTACAAACTACAAAGACAGATCAGTCTTTTATATTTTGCCTCTTGTCTGCATAGCTTATCCACTGGATGATTGACTGTGAAGCCGTTTAAAACTGGAGAGAGCTTTCAATAATCTTTTAAAAAAACAGAACAATCTGAGACTTTTGTTCTGTGTAATGAAATAAAATTCTTGGGACACATTGTGACAGTTGCACAACCTAACCATAATTTTCTGTTTGTTAACTTTACACGAAGGCAAACTAAAGTGGAACTTAGAAGAGTTGATTAAATTAGGGGTTAAACAATATGTACTTGAATTTTGAGTTGTTGTGAGGTACACTGTATTTGAATATTTACTCTATAAGCTTCATAATTGTACCTGCTGTATCTGATTCAGTTGCTATAATTTTTGCAAATTATTTGCACTCTACATGTGCTTTGATTCTGCAGGTACAGTATGGATAACCTGAGATAAACATGTAGACCTTTTTTTATAACATTGTCTGGATTGCTCTCAACCAAGTGATTTACATCATTAAAGATGAAAAGCAAGAAATTCACATCAAGTGAGCCCATTTTCAATAAACGAGAAGAATTCACAGATGTGTTGCAATTGAAAAGCTTGTGTAATGCACAGTTGCACACCATATACACACCCATAGATCGTTTTGTACATAGGTTGGATTTTGTTCCAAAATGGAAAACTGCTTTTGAAGAGATTTGATAACAGAGCAATTATATGCAGGGAAAAAAATAATATTTATTTTTCGGGGGCTACTTTCCAACCTTGCCTGCATGAAAATAACATTCTAAAATTTGTTTTGCATTGAACTCTATGCAAATTTACAGGGGCTCTTTTCTGATTTTCGGGGGCTCTTTTAGGCATTTCGGGGGCTAATTCGCCCCGAGCCCCCGTGTATTTTTTTCACTGATTATATGGAATAATGTCACTAGATGTAAACCCATAAGATTGTGCACTCTTTGGCTTGTTGTATCTACTGTGTACATTTGAGGGTAATCAGTTTCAAATTAATTATTATACCTGATGAATAATGATGTCAAAAGACCATGTTACTATGAGGTTTCACTGAATAGTGTAGTGCAGTATCCTGAGATGTAAGTCTCATCAATTAGAGTTCTTCATAGCTATACAGGTGACTTGGAATACATATGCTCAATTACTTTTTCTGGTTTGCATTTATTACTCGATGAAATGTCTTTGTATTATTAGTAAATGTAACGCGCCTGCGTGCGCTTGGAGCCAAGACTAGTTAATAAAGTGTTCGTTATCGCTGACATCTTGACACATAGACATTGGCCTCCTGACATTTATGTTTTGGGAGTTATTGTGGCGGTTTTGGGATGTGTAATGCTTGTCTTTGGTGGCGAATCAATTTGTCGTGGTTGTGTTGCCTATGATCCGTGACAGTAAATTTGGGGCTAAAATCTGAGGTGTTGTTTTTGCAATGTCTGTCCTTTCAATTGTGTTGTATTATTGCAGTATAATAAAATGTCAAAACTTAAATGCCTATGCTGTAGAATATCAACACACATGTGCCGTGTGGTAATAAAAGGTTCATTTATTCATTTTTTTCCTTCAAATTGAATTATAAGTTTATTCTCTAAAACTGGTTGATGAAGAAAATAAGAAATACACTGTATCAAGGAGAATATTATTTATGGAACAAAAAAGTGATGTGAATAAATAATTATTACATCAATGATCAGCTGTTTTTAAAGAATATTCATATATATTTATAGTGAACTGTAAAAAAATATTCTTTCAGACATATAGAGATTTTATAGAGATTAGGTGAAAGACATAAGGTGTGAATTTGATATAAATGAGTGAGAGAAGAAGAAAAAGAATGTTTGTTTGGATGGATGGATGAATGATTGGATGAGTAAATAACAATTTTTTTAAAATAAATGTGTATAATTCTTTCCATCCCCCTCTTCCTATCTTCAGTATCGTCCTATATCTGCATTTCCATTATCTACCTATCCTTCTATATTATATCTATCTATCCATCTATTTATGTGTCTAGCTATCTACATACCCATCTCTATCCCAAATCTATAAGTATCAATCTGTTTATAATAGCCATAAACATAAAATGAATATATTAGAAGCGTTTATATTAATTTATATAAAGCGTTTTAAATCAATAAACCCTGGCTCTCATAATAACTGAATTAGAAAGACATTGACCCCGGCATTGGCCCTGTAGCATAAAACTTTGGTTAATATCATGACATAAATATCAAATACAAGTCCCAAATGCTTGATTCTGATTGGTTGAAAGTAAGGTAATATTTCATGTCATAATATCACAGTTTTATATTGACAAAGAGGAAGAAAAATTGAAGATATACTGAAATATAAATAGCTTTTTGTGTCCCTTTTACCTCACCATAACACCCGTAATTAATCTTGACCTACACCAGATACCATGACTGAGGCATGAGTAGGGTTCATGCATTATGCAAAATACCACAATTATAACGTTTCATACTCGAAAACCGATAAATCAACCCGAAAAATGAAGCTTCACATTGCATATCAGTAGCACAGTTTCGAAGGGAATATCCGGGTATTTCTCGAAGTTGTGCCCTCCTTAGTAATGGCGGACCGCGCTCCACGCGCGCACAGAGCTTTGAACGGGCGCGTATGACGAGTCCGCACTCTAGCCTATTAAGTATATATCTCTATGATGTAGACATACCATTGCAGATTTTCCCAAGCATCTCTTCTCCAATGATTCATTTGTATCTTCCTTTCTCTGTTAAGCATCCCTCTTTCTCTTTGTCCCACCACCCCTCCCCCCCCCCCTCTCCCGTCCCTCTCTACCTTCTCTTTCTCTTTCTCTCTTGCTCGCTCTCTCTCTCTCTATCACTCTTTTCCTCTACCTCTCTCCCCTTCTCTCTGTGTGCATGTATGTGGGAATCTCTCTCTCTCTCTCTAGTTCTTTCCTCACTTTCAAGATTTTCTACCTCTATTTTTGCCTCTTTCACCATGTTGTGTGTGGGTATTACAGTATGTGTGGGGTGGTATGTGTGTATATAAAAGCACTACTCACTTTCACTCTCTCCTCTATGTTGCATGCCTCATTTTCTCCCTCTTTCTTAATGTCTATTCACATCTCTCTCTCTCTCTCTCTCTCTCTCTCTCTCTCTCTCTCCTCCTCCTCTCCTAATCACTCACACTCTTGATATTGATACAGTGTGTATCCCTCTTCTCCCTCTCCATCATCTTCCCATCGTCGTCTCCCTGATTGGGCCCCCTACCATGTCATACTGCCTGCAACTGTTTTCCATCATCCTCATCAAGTATCACGGTTACCTGTCACCCTTTATCTGCTTCGCCTCCGGACCCCGACAAACAAGCACAGAGAAGCAAGCGACGGTCGGGCACGCCGCCGGTATATACCCGCCTGGAGTGCATGCGTGCTGTAATGTCAAAAGATGTATACTTCTCTTACGGGGATGCCAAGAATAGTCATGCCAAAAATCGTCTCGAGAGTAAACTGGACATGAGACGAGACAGACGTTGTCTGAAGAAAAAGAGGACCAGCCTTGTCTGTTTTAAATTTGTACAAGCAGGCACTCCCTTTTTACACATGTAATCTTCCATTTTAAACTACAGTACATTGTAACTCGGTAATCTGTTCTTATTTACTCTACATACATGTGTATCTGTGTTTTTAATTTTTTTTTTACATATCAGATGATTTAAATTATGAACATGTACCTGTGCAATGTACACTGTAAATAATAATAATAGTGAAATTTAAATGCAGGGTCTCATGGACAACAATAGCATCACATACAATGCCATGTCCATGCTGTCGATGTCCACTAGCCACCTATTCACTTCATACACATTTGTCAAACCTTTATCAAACATACTGTACATGTACAGGTTCTTCTAATTACACATAACAACCATATTATTCACTCATGTCAAAGTCCCTGAATGATGGCTTCTCTTGAAAAACAGTTTCACATCAGTATCATCAGTAATGTATGTTGGTAGTTTACTTCTGATGTCCAATTAATGTCACTCAATGTACAGGTATTATGTGGTCTAGACTATGTCACCCGACTGAGGATTGCATGGTTCACAGTTCAAGCCCCGCTGTGGCATGCGAGTCCTTTTGGGAAGATATTAAACCTACATTGTATATTTGCCAAGCTAACCCAATGTGTAGTTAATACATGTACATGTAGGTACCTGATGAGAATGCCTTGAATGCTTTGAGCACTTTAGTCTTTAGGGCAGCTGAGCTAAGCCAGGGTTTTAATAATAATACTTTGAGATGGATGTGTGCAATATAAATAGCTACTATTACAAATATTCATCAATCACCGTTACTGTACCAGATGTTGTGTTGCATGTACAATGTACATGTATGATGTAGGACACTTGTCTACAATGGCAAAAAAAGTCATTACAGAAGAAGACTTACGAATTAATAGGCAATCGCTAGTAGGCAAATGCATAATTGCAACTGACATACATGAAAAATTAAGGGAAAGCCATAGACCATGCATGAATAATGAACATGAAATTATAACATGATTAACCCTAATGCACTATGTTGCCTAGCTGCATGTGTCTACAATTTCATACATGTATGTGTACAGTGTACATGTACATGCATAATACCTGTCTCAATCATTTTCAGCCTACCTGAGAAAAATTGAAATGAGCGGTAGGACAAAACGGAAAGCTTCATGAAGACAAGAAAAATGTTCCATGCTGTTACCGGACTGTTGGTTATTCATGGGCCATTAGCAGAAAGCCTGATGTCGGAGCAGAGTTTCAGAGACCGGATCTCCTTCGGACATTAATGTACCAAGAGAGGGAAATCTGAGTGATCTATCAGTAGTTGAAAAGCATTTGGTGTCCCCATATGCCCTCAAGTGCCATGTGACAGACAAAAGGGCATTTTGATGTCCTTTTGTAATGAAAGCATAATTGCAAATAATGGCCCTTGATTCAAAGTTGAATATTATCTGCCAAGAGTTTGAAGGACATTTTAGGTCCCCTGAAGTGTGCCCTATTACCGGTAAGCAAAAGGCATTCTCCTATTCAAAAGGAGGGTTACACTTTTTTCACCACAAGCCCATAAATGTCACAGGATTCAAATATTGGCTGCTGAAATGGCAAAGAAGTTTGTGTTTAATCCATCTACTAAGAGCTTAAAGCTTTTGGTACGGGGTCATGAATTTGGTTCAAATTAACAATTTCGGAAGCATATGCGTTCCTACAATATTCATTGATCGTTGTCTCGGTTGAAATCGAGTCTAAAGTTATGAAATTATAAATAATAAACTCTTTATGTTGTATAGCTCCCTCTCAAGGTCAAGATATTAATTTAGCTATGAAACAATGTTTCTTGACTAAATTCGACCAATTAGCTATTCCCATTTGGAAATTATATATCACAACTACATATTCTGAGATTTTCATGGTCGCAGCTACCATTGTACGGCCATAGGCGCTATTTGAAATTTATCAAAATTTACCAGGAGCACCAGTAAATTTTTATATTCAATTTTTCTCGAAAAACAGAAGTGTTTTAGGGGCTTATTTTTTTAGTGCTTATAATACATCTACAGGGGCATCAAAATATAACAAAATTGTAAAGATTTATTATCCACCCAATTTTCAAATTTTCCAAAACTTTGTATTACCATTAAGTTTCCAAAGAGTTATTAATCACCCTTCTGACTCTCAATAGATGAAATATTTTTGCCTACCAGGGGGTGTTTCACAAAACTTGTCATCAGTGACAAATGACAGTTTTTGTTATAAGCTACTGAAATCCTTGCTTCTGATTGGTTATCAACAGATTTGTCATTGATTTTTGTCATAGAAAAAAGGCTTTATGAAACGGGTCCCAGTTCTTACAATGGTGTAACTTGTGTGATCCTCTTTCCGAGTTGCAAGTCCAAAATGCTGGTTTGTAGATCTTTACATTTAATTATTTGCCACTGTAATATTAGCAGAGTATAAAATGCCACTTTAATATCAACAGAGTAATAAACACCACTGTAATATCAACAGAGTAATAAATGCCACTGTAATATACTATTTAAATATTGAGAGAGTAATACTTGTAAATTTCCACTTCTATACCAGGATACAACTTATGGGTGTGGCCCAACTTTATAAATACTGGAGAGATTTGAAGTGAGATATCGGGTGTGGTTGTAGCATTGCATTGAATCAACTTCACTCATTTTCTGACTACTGAACTTTTTTATTGCCTGTACAATGTCTATACCGGTACACAAGTTTGTTGACCTTCCATGAAACTATTAACTAGTAACTACACGTACATGTATTAAGCTCATGGGTAATGAATTTGTTTACATGTACTTCAATTTTTACTCAAGGAGTCTAAGGTCACATCAAGAGGTAAAACCACCTTGTGGCTAAAAGGTACCTGCAAATTTATCAATTCCTGCTGTAACATGAAAACAGATAAATCATCAGGTCTGTATGTCCGTGACTCACATTGTTTACTAATTTTTAACATGTACATGTGCCCAAATAATTGACAAGAATATAAGAGATTAGAGAAGCCTTTCCGTTTAAAGGGATCGTTTAAAGCTTATCTGCCGTAGTTTACAGGAGGGATTAGACCGCTCTGCAAGGTCACTGGACAGGTGGTTATCTCATCAACTCAGCTCTCAGTAAACAAAAAAAAAAGAGGATCATGGGGGACCAATGGTCACCGATTAGGCATTGTCTGTTATATAGAGGGCGCAAGTAGCTACCAGTAGTGCAGTGGGCCTTTAACAATGTTAAATCTGAGATACATGGCCCTACGTGTTATCAGTGTCTGTGATATGGTGTAAGCGCTTCAAAATGATCAAGAAGTGCCTCAAAAAAGTAAAAATCTTTGAGTGACCGGTTTTACCATTCTCGTTTTCCCCAATAGACTGTAGTGTTATGAAAACCGTCAGGCGAACATTTTTCAAAATTTGTAATTCCAATCATAAATATCTTGATAATCAGACAGGCGATCGGCTTGTAAAAGTCATGGGGTTCCTGACTGACCTAAAGGTTTATAATTATCATTGCATCATGAGCTCAATGCAGAATTTTATTTCAGAATCTGAGACAAAGTTACCGGATCCCTTTAAGAGATAAAAGCCTAGAGCAAGGGACGGTAAAACAAACATAAAACTGTTCACATGAAAGCTCGTACTCTGTTCAATTACATGTAAAATTTAAAGCAATTAATTCTCTTTGGCATGAATTGATGTCATTAATTATTTTTGGTATCAACTATTGCCAATAATACTGCCATGACCATCTTCCTCCTACCAATCCGAAACTCTTGATTCCCTTTCGGTTTAATCTCAACAATGCCCAGTGATTCATGATTTACATGTACAATCAAGTTAGTTAATAGCTTCTTGTTTGACAACACTTTCTTTTACGACTGGGTCACGTATATAAGTGATGTGGAATATGGATCATGTGATTGGCTTGTTTTTGCCAAAAATGTAAATGCGTATGGTGTGAAAGGTTGGTTAAAAGTAATGGAACAAAAAATTAAAGTTAAAAGTAAAGGAACAAAATGTTAATTAATAGTGTTAAAAGAAACAATTCCAAGGCTGGGCAAATATTTTCAAAATAAAATAGCAACAAATAAAAACGTAGTGAAGCTTCTTGTCTTGGACTCATCAGAGTACATCACGAGAATGAATCGAAGCTGACTTTGGACATACAGCACAGCGGTACATGTACTATACAGTACATGTACATACACTGTACATACATGTACATAAACATATTAAGCTAAAGGCACAAAGCACACAAAATAACTACTGGCTGTGATTTTCAACATAAAAAGTAATTGTCTTTAATACCTGATCATTGTACTTCAATACCTACATGTACATGTAGCTTGTACATTATATATATTTCTAAATTCATAATTTTCAAAATTGCTTTAAAATGTTGATTACATGTATGTGCATTCTCTCTCAATCTCTAGACCAACTATTTGTCCACTTTCTATCAGAGACGATCATGAGTGTCGAACATGCTTAAAGAAGAAAAATGGTTTGATGATGTGATTATTGTTATCCCATGTACTGTACATGTACAATGCAAGGACAACTTGGTGTAAACATGCCTCATGAAACTTTTGTGAATTTCACTTTTGTTTCACAACAGCTTCATGCAACTGCATTTACAAGAGTTGATGCTGATCAGAAAATTTTAAATGTGAAAAATATTCTGATTTCCCTGCAGTATTCATAAAAAATTAAATTGAAATTCAATGAATCTTACAACGACCTTTCATATCCATCAACAACTGTATTATTCCTTCTTTTTTTTCTTTGACACCCAGTATACACCCACATTTCTAGCAAATAAGCTACAAGTACGCTCCAGGTAGCTGATATAAATTGAATTCCCCATGAAGTAGGCTTCAATTTGAGGCAGCGCCCAGATCAATTTGCAAACTTGTATCAGATTGGCATCCATCCATTTCAAATGTAATAGATTTTATTCTCCTCCCTCTCAGCATTCAGGTCCTTAACCCTTACAGTGCCACAAAACTTTTGAAACATTGTCATATTCATTTTCAAAATGTAAACGTTGACTTATAAAGACTAGTTGTACATGTACTGTATATGGAATGGTAAATCACGGTGGAGTTTTTATGTACATGTAGTAAATGAATTGCAAGTGAGAATGCAAAAAGATGCTGAATGCAATAAAGGTCCTACGCCCTTCTTCTGTAAATTTACAAAAGCTTTTTTGCTCTGGACAGTAACATTAAACTTATGTAAAGCTGATCTCACCCAGATGAGCGCAGAATAGACATCAAAAGAGACATCAAATGCCACGTCAAATTGCATTACTTGACTCATGTGGCACCTCATATTTGGGGGGTATTTACATGTATGCCTAACTTGTAACATATGGGATAAATTGGTTTCAGAATTTTACATGTACCTTCCAGTGAGCTTTAGACCCGGTGCAAATGGGGTGACTGTGTGTCATGTACCAGAAGTAGTACAGTATGTGAACATTTATGATAGTTATAATCATAATCTTGTGGGTACTTCAGTTCAATGCACTTTAATACATGCCATCATGTTTCTTCCAAAGTTTGTTGAAAATCATTTGTTTTTTAACAGCTTTTTAAATTGTAAAATTATCTACATATGAAAGTCTATAACTTTTTAAAGGAAATGATCACTTTTTCTAATCTTGCTGATTGACCTCAACTCATTCAATAGACGTCTAATGTAAAAATGTTAACTCAATGCTAAATTTGCTATTACAGTTTAATAAGATCTAAATCTCTTAACAATCAAAAACTTAAATGACCCCAAAAAACAACTGTATAAAAGCTACACAAGTGCATGTACATGTAAATGTACACTAAAAGTGTATCCAAATTAATAGCCTACAAATTCACAACATATTTTACCTCTCCACTCAGGCTCTCCACACAAAAAGCAACACTGTACATTACATTGACAGACATTTTTTCTTAATCATACATACTGTCATAGAATACATGTACAGGTACACATACTGTACATGTACATGTAGTTTTAAGGTACTAAAATAGCATCCTGCTTTTCCTAACTACAACACTACAAGTCATAAAAATCATACATGTACAGTGTACATGTACACGTAGGATCTCACCAGCACCCTGTATCATGAACTTTAAGTTTAAAAGGAAGATTAATGAGAAGAAACAAGTACATGTAGATGTACTTACCAGTGCTTTATGTTAGGCCCATCTTGGCAGGAAAAAGTGATACAACACCTACAGGAAAGACAAAAGGAAATAAGGTCGTCAGTACATGTATTAAAACACTCAACCAACATACAGTACATGTACATGTACTTGTAGGCCTATATGTATATTGAGATACCGGTAACCAGCATACACTGACAGTGTACATGTATACACTGTGTATGTACATGTAAATGGTTACAGATTATCTTGAGTACTGCTTATATTACCAAATATTTGCCTTGCTTGAAAGATAATGAACCTGATAATAACATGTACATGTACAGGTACATGTAAGTAAAATAATAATAATATTGGAAATTTTAATAATGCACATATCCGCCACGCAAGGTGCTCAAGGTGCTCTACTTCATGTACATACACTGTAGACTACCGTTTTCGGCGCTCACAGCATTCAAGGAATTCCTTCCTACCAGTATCCATTTTAACACCTGGGTGGAGATTGGCAAATGTAGATCAATATCTGAATACCACACTTCCGTTCTCTTTACTGCAACAATTGTTGGCCTTGACATAAATGTAGGCCTACATGTATATACTTCCATGACGAAATGTGTACACTACTACCCTGTCATGATGTCATCCATTCAATTATTCCAAGAAACCATACAACTTGTCATTGCTAACAGGAAGAAAAAACAATTTTGGTCTGTCTTGCACAAAATCATGTACAATTCAGGAAGCATGACCAATATTCTGTTTTTCTTTCAAATCAGGATGTGAAAGTAGCTTCCTGACTTGATTTTTGCCAATTGTAACTAACACTGGCATGAAGACTGGTGTACAGTGTACATGTATGTACATGTACATGTAGCTGGCATGACAAGCTATGTTTTTGTAAAACTAGATGTACACATGTGCATGTACATGTATACCTGTATATGTACATTATTTTGTTGAACAATAGAAATAGCTCATTTGTTTACATGTTTTTACTTCAATTAACTTATTGGGTTTTAGACTTATCCTGTAATCTACACATACACCTGTACCTGTACATGTACAACTGTACATGTAACTACTGTACAGGTACATAGAGTGGTCTTCACTAAAACATAGAATCTGTATAACAAGTTTGTAAAATGAAAGAGCACATTATAATGCAAAAAACACATATAATAGCTGATATTTTCTGTTTTTATTTCAAGCAACTTATTAGATTGGGTTTTAAAAGACTCGTCCTGTAATTTACCTAAAATAGGCTTGTAGCATTCACTGAAATTAAAAAACAAAAAATCTGTATGCAATTCATTCTCAATTAACGGGTAATGTCTCTCATATTGACATACAATGTGCATGTACAATGTAGTACTACAGTGTACGTACTTGAATGCAAAATTCTCATACACAAGTTTTCATTGGGTTTGCCATCTCTCAAGCTTATTCATAAAATCTACATAAAAATAACATTACTTCCACCACATGTAATAAAACTTGAGGTTAACGTGTCACTCAAAACCACTGATTCGTGTACGTACACTGTCGCCTTGAAAGTATGATTGACAAAAAAATCTAAAGCATGGATCTTTAAGCATTACAAATCTCACACTCCTAATACAGCTCAGTAATCACTCAATACCTGTACTCTATATTTTGCAGCTGCACGCAGCACCCTGTCTACACCTGAATCGTTTGGTACATGTTTTGGCAGCGATCTGTAAGATTAATATTTCCTTTCCATTAGTTTTCAATCAATACAAGGGCACACTTCCTCATGAAGACTTGAATTACACATGCACATAACTGTGAATCATCCTCACGCATATGCAATATGTATGTCATGTACCATGTGAAATGTACCAATATGTTTTACAAGTTACAATCAATGAGAAATTCCAAAAATATCTTCAACGCTGAGAATAGGGAATCATGGTGAATAGGAGACAAAAAATGGAAAGTGTTATGAAATCTTTATTTTCTCCTGACAACTGATGCAGATTCTTTTTATTTCTTTTTTATTCACGACAAATGTTTTTGAAAAAGTATTATTTTTAAAGAAAAGTGTTGTGTTTTTTTTACTTTTTTTTTTTAAAGAAAAGAGGAAATGAAAAAGGTCTGCTCCATTTAATTAATACTGAGAGCAAAATTTATGTAAGAGAGAAAAACAAAATACACTGTTACCCATAAAATTTGAATAATTTTTCTTTTTCTTTACCTCTTTTTATAAAATGATTGGGCATATTTGGGACAATACTATCTCGGTTTATTCTTGATAAAGTTGATATTTTTTCAGAACTTAACATCTCTATGACTCTTTATTGATCAATGTTTCAATTTACCCCCATTCTAAATATTTTGGGTATAAAAAATTCTTACAGGCCAATTAATATCACTTATATGCATGTACATGTAGGTACTGACATGCGCATGGATCTTGAAATAACAAACTGTACGGCCGACCGTTTTTTAACATTTCAAATTCCAATCACAAATATCTTCATAGCGGTAATCAAACAGACGATTGGCTTGTATAACTCATGGGATTCCTGACTGACCTAAAGGTTTATAACTATGATTGCAGCTAAATCATTGTTTTGTTTTGGATCCGAGGCAAACACGTGCCACAACTGAATGCATGACTTATAGCTTACCGTTATTCTTTGACAATTCATCACTGACCGTCTCATTATGACTCAATATGATTTCTTCTCTCATCTTCTCCCCCCCCCCCCACCTCCCCCCCCCCCCTTCCTCTCTCTCTCTCTCTCTCCTTCATCTCTTTTTCAACGGCTCTCTTTCTTCTTTTTTTTTTCTTTTTACATGAACTGTTATACATGTACATGTACATGTATATTCATGTGTTCAACTTAAATTTTGGACTTTGTCATATACATGTACATGTATATACACAGATTAGACTTTGTAAATTATGCTCCAAAAAAGATAATTTTCCCTCTCCTGTTCTTACTTTCTTAACCTACAATACGTACTTCTGTCTTTCCTTATCCTTTTGTTTTTGCCCACTATGTTGTATCCTCCTCTTAATCATAACCCCCCCCCCCCCTTTCTCTTGCTCTCTTTCTCTCTCCCTCCCTCCACTCCTTTAGTTTTCTCTCTTCATATCACTCTCTTTCTATAATCTCTCATACAGGTATATACATGTACATGTATGGGTAGTACACTGTACATTGTTCTCTCCCTTCTTCTGTCTGTCTCTCTCTCTCTCTCTCTCTCTCTCTTACACTGTACATGTATCTCTTATATCTCTCTCTCTCACTCTCTTTCTCCCAACATACAGTGTACAATGTACATGTACATTGTAGCTTGCTTTCTCTCCTTCCTCTTTCATATATATCACACAATCACCCTTGTAACCCACTCCATAAGGGAGCACAATCAAACATAATCAAATCAAGTTCACCACCAGCTCCTTGCCTTGTAAACTTTCCATCCTCCATCATTGCGCAAGACAGCTGGCAATAGCGCACATTACCTGTGTTTTCTCCCTCTAATTGTCGCTCTAATAAGGTCAAGCATATGGCTTGACGGTCAGACAGCAACTGTGCATGCACTGTCTATGTTAGTCGATAGGAGCTGGAGTCAGTGTTGTGAGCCTTTACTCGACCTAATGTTACAGTACATGAATGTACAAAAGTATATGGCCAAGCCACACACTTGATGCTTTCAGTTTCAATGCTCTAAAAAAAAATTCAACAACATACATGTACAATCAATCATGGTTTATACATTTATGTCCTTCCATCATTTTCTAAACTATAGTCATGACAATTGCAGTAGCAGTACTTTCTTTGATATACTGTTCATGTCATGTACATGTACATGTATCTTCAACTTTATGAAGGCATAATTCTCATTAAGAAAAAAAAGAATTGGTTGTTTCTTCTTCTTCTTCTTCTTTTTCTTGAACTTTGTATTTCATAGCATGTGATTCATTGCAATTACATATTTACATTGTACATGTACAGTATGAGTCAAAATAAACTAACCCCCCTAACGCGTGTAACGTTTGCAATACGTTAATTATATATTTAACGTTTGTAGGCGTTACCCGTTAGACGTTAGCGTTACCCGTTAGTTTTGTTAGTTTTGTTAGTTTTGTTAGTTTTGTTAGATGATGTTCTAAAATTGACCGAACGAAGGAACGATATATGCGCTTCAAGAAAATGATGCCTAAAATATCTGAAACATCGTAATTATTATCTCAAAATACGAGCACGAGTATGTTCAAAATTAAATACGATGAAACAATGCCAAACTAATTTGAAACATCCTTATTATCGTCTCAAAATTAGGGAATGAAGTTACGATATGTGCTTCGAGATAATGATGCCTAAAATATCTGAAACATCGTAATTATCTTCTAAAATTGACCGAAAGGAGGAACGATATATGCGCTTCAATAAAACGATGCCTAAAATATCTGAAACATCGTACTTATCATCTCAAAATACGAGCACGAGTATATTCAAAATTATTTACGATAAAACAATGCCAAACTAATCTGAAACATCCTAATTATCTTCTCAAAATTAGCGAACGAAGTTACGATATGTGCTTCGAGAAAATGATGCCTAAAATATCTGTAACATCGTAATTATCTTCTAAAATTGACTGAACGAAGGAACAATATGCACTTCAAGAAAATGATGCCTAAAATATCTGAAACATCGTAATTATCATCTGAAGATACGAGTATATTCAAAAGTATTTACGATAAAACAAAGCCAAACTAATCTGAACATCCTAATAATCTTCTCAAAATTTAGTAGCGAACGAATTAACGATATGCGCTTCGAGAAATTGATGCCTAAAATGTCTGAAACCATGCCCCAAACGTCGAGTCTACCCTTTATCCTATTAAGTCCCTGCTTACTCGGGCTTCAGGACATCACTTTCACAGGTCATTCCTTTACCTCTCCTCCAAGTAAATCTAATTATCTCTAATCCTCTTAACTAGCGAGGGACAATTATCTATTACGTAATCACCTTGACTACAATACCTTTAATCACGAGTGTGCCAGATTAACTGCGTTTGTCTCAGTGTGTGTGTGTACTAGAACTTGTACTATAAATTGAAAAGGATATAGATCGCGGGAGAGAGAGAAGCGGAAACAATAGAATATCGCTGATGTTACAGGCTTTTATAACAAAAAGTAAGCCGACAGACCGAAAGAAATGAATGAAGAAAATGAAAACCAATATCACTGGCACTTGAAAAAATGAAAGAGACATTAAATCGCGGGAGAGAAAGAAGCGAAAACAATCAAATATTGATGATGTTACAGGCTTTCATGGCAAAAAGTAAGCCTACGCAACGACAGAAATGATTGAAGAAAATGAATGCCAATATCATCGGCGCTTGAGAAAATAAAACAATTAATGAGTTGCGGGAGAGAGACAGAAGCGAATTCAATTAAATATCGCTGATGTTATAGGCTTTTATGACAAGTTAGTAAACGGAACGAAACAAATTATTGAAGCAAATGAATGCCAATATCACCCCGGCGCTTGACAAAGTAAAAGAGAGATAGATCGCAGGGGAGGGAGAAGCTAAATCAATTATACATCGCTGATGTTACAGGCTTTCGACGGAACGACCAAAATGATTGAAGAAAATGAATGCCAATATCACCAGGCGCTTGACAAAATAGATCGCAGAGAAGAGAGAAGCGAAATCAATTATATATCACTGATGTTACAGGCTTTTACGACAAAAAGTAAGTCGACGGAACGAAAAAAAAAATGATTGAAGAAAATGAATACCAATATCACGGTTATCACCAGGCGCTTGAGAAAATAAAAGAGAGATACATGTAGATCGAAGGGGAGAGAAGCGAATCAATTATATATCGCCGATGTTACAGGCTTTCATGGCAAAGAGTAAGTCGACGGAACGAAAGAAATGTATGAAGAAAATGAATGCCAATATCATCGGCGCTTGAGAAGGAAAAAAAAAAAGATATAGATCGCGGGAGAGAAATAAGCGAAAACAAATAAATATCGCTGATCTTACAGGCTTGCATGACAAAGAGTAAGCCTACGGAATGAAAGAAATGAATGAAGAAAATGAATTCCAATATCACCAGGCGCTTGGCAAAATAAAAGAGAGATAGATCGCAGGGAAGAGAGAAGTGAATTCAATTATACTAAATATCGCTGATGTTACTGGCTTTTATGACAAAAAGTAAGTCGACGGAACGAAAGAAATGAATGAAAAAAATAATTCCAATATCACCAGGACATTGACAAAATACAAGAGAGATAGCTCGAAGGGGAGGGAGAAGCTAAATCAATTATACATCGCTGATGTTACAGGCTTTTACGACAAAAAGTAAGTCGACGGAACGAAAACAATGATTGAAGAAAATGAATGCCAATATCACCAGGCGCTTGACAAAATAGATCGCAGAGAAGAGAGAAGCGAAATCAATTATATATCACTGATGTTACAGGCTTTTACGACAAAAAGTAAGTCGACGGAAAATAAAAAATTGATTGAAGAAAATGAATACCAATATCACGGTTATCACCAGGCGCTTGAGAAAATAAAAGAGAGATAGATCGAAGGGGAGAGAAGCGAATCAATTATATATCGCCGATGTATACAGGCTTTTATGGCAAAGAGTAAGCCTACGCAGTGACAAAAATGATTGAAAAAAATGAATACCAATATCACAGAACTACACGTGCACTACACTGTGAAGATCACTCCCTGGCCCTTGGCTCATGAATATAACTGTCAGATCCTGAATAGGGGCTATGATAGGATTAAGGCGATTAGCAGGTAATCCCTTATAAGGGATTACGAACAACCCTGTAAATGTGATGTCCCTACTTTTTAAGGGGATGTTTGAGTCATGCATCGTAATTATCATCTAAAAAAACAAGCACGCATAAAATTATATTCAAAGTGATTTACGATAGAACAATGCCATATCAATCTGAATTTCTGAAACATTGTAATTATCTTCTAAAATTTACCGAAGTCTGGATATGCGCTTCAAGAAAATGATGCCTATAGTATCTGAAATACTTATCAACTCAAAATACGAGCATGGAATTAAAAAAAAAAAATCGACAAAATAATGTCAAACTTATCTTAAATTAAGCTGATATGATAACTTATGCAGACGGACGATAACTGACTTCAAATCCAGGTACTATTCCATCAATAAGGTCAAAATAATGAAGCAATTATGTCATCATGAGCGCGAGATTTTGCAAACGTAAGACACGTGAAAAAGCATTGTAGTCATCCCGATTTATCATTGAACGGTTGCTCGCCCTAAATCAAAGCCATTTTATTCGATGCCAATTATGCCCATTGTTAGCTCAAAATTGTTGAGTTTTTACAGGGCTACGGTCTCGCAAGGTGAACATCAGAAGCAAAATCTCATTTTCTGCCAATTTCATAGCAGGACAAAGAGGAAGAAAAACGCGATGAATAGTATAAAAGATAGGGATCCAATTTATCCGGATAGCTACTGCTTTATAAATTTGTTCCCCCTGCTTTTGATTAACCTGCCACACATTTATAATCCCATATAGGAGAACAATGCAATGCATGTATCTGAGCAGCGTCTCTACTGCTACCATCGCATGTCAATCATGAACAGTGGCCTAGCTCTTTTGTTCCATTTTGCAGTACATAATAATTAGTAGCCCCCTGCTGCCAATGACGAGAAACACCTCTATTTTCTCCATGCCTTTAAATATTTAATTTGTAGTGTGTCTTTTTTTATCTTTTGCATCCAGGACATGGCACAGAAAACATGCCTTCAGGAACGGTTGCATGAATTTATTTTTACAGAAATATGCATGTTGTTGATTTATGTTCATTATTTTGTTATTGGTTGCTATTTTTGGTACTAACAACGTCGTTTATAATACTAATTTAACAGTTTTCAAACATTCAACGTTTTATTTTGACATCGTTTTTTTTCTTCTTGCCCTGCATTAGAGTAATATGTTGAACATCACTTATGTTTCACTATGACTTGTTTTCTTTGAAACTCTTTACTATCTAGTCTTTCCGACTTTATTTTAAAATCTTTTGTTGTTTTTCATTATTGACTTTCTTAAGAAATAACTAATTTGTATTACTCGCTTTCTACATTTTCATTCTTATAAAATCATGTTTCGTTCCCCATTAACATATCTTAAAGCGGTAGTTCAGTTTTGGGGTGTATGGGGAAGGATTTGGACTATTCTCAGGACTTGGTGTCTAGTTTTTCTTTGCAACTCGTTACTAATTCAGTCTTTCCAACATTATTTTAATATTTAAGATATTTTGTTTTTCACTATTGATTTCCTAAAAAAATGACTACTTTGTATTACAACCCCCCCCCCCCCCCCCCACCCCTTACAGTAAATGCACCTGACCTCATCGAGTCCTCAGAAGAGACGTATTTTTGGTTCTTGGAATTCAATTTAATTCCTTCCGATTCTTCAATTTGTCATTTGGTAATAACGCGATCTGACAATTGACATACTTGAATTACTTGATTGATAAAATTGTTTAGTAGGATGACCAAGTACTTACTTTATGCACTTGCCAACATCAGGCACATCATTTTGTGTATAAAGTGCCTCATCACTTTCTACCAACCTGTATCGTAGATTGATCCGTGAGACTAGGTAGTAAATGTTGGAAAGAGGAAGACATGATATATGAAATAATAAAGGGAAAAAGATGGCCACGAGGAGAATGCCTTTTTATCTTCTAATTAGATCATTACGTGGCTGGAGAACCATCTCTGTGCAATACAATCTGAATTACCGGGAGCTTCGAACGTGCTCTTGATATTGCATAGCAGTGAGCCAGTTTTGTTTGTTTATTTATTTAAATACGGTGATTAAAAAAAACATGCTTTCAGCTTAGCATAGCTATTTTTAGCATGGAAGTCCCTACATGGTATATTAAAGTACATAAAAGTTACCAAGAAGTAGGTCCTAGCAGTCTTCAAGTTCCAAGTCCCTGGTCCTAGGGTGGAAACCTAAATCAATGGAAACTTCCTCCCTGCCTGTGTACTCTTACATTGCGTAAAATGCACTTTCTCTGTCATCAAGCATGGTTTGTAGTAGGTCCATGCATCAAGTCTCTCAGCAAGAAATTGAGATTAGAATCCAGTCGTTGACTGATATACTTATGTCAGCAAGATAAGAGATAAATTTGTTTCTCTGGGGACTTGGTGGTTGAAGGCTGGTGGAATGTGACAGCTATAGGGCCACGCGAGCGCGAGCACATACTAGTAAATCAAGTTTAGGGGTGAATATAGTAGCGATCTTTTGTTTTTCTTCCAGTCTCTCTCTACTCCGCCCCCTTTATCTCTTCACTATCTTCCCTCCTTCTTTCACTCTCCCTCCCCATCTCTCTCTCTCTCTTCTTTCTCTCTATATACCCCGTCTCCCCTCATCTCTTCCTCTCCCTCTCTCTCCCGTCCTTTCAACTTTTCTCATATTCATTCCTTTCCTTAAAATCTCACAGCATGCGCGTCATTTTCTCTGACACAACAGCCATATTTGTCCATATTAATACAAGTTCATAACCCAAACAACTTTGAAATCATCTTTTTATGAAGTTATGCGATAAAGGTTATAATTGAAGAGGTGAAAATTGGGCTCTTCTTAAAACTACAAAAGGCGGCACTCATCAGGAATGAAAAAGCACTTACGATAATGGGAAATGGGCATTAGTTGAAAGAAAAGGGGCACCAATCATATTTTGATAGGGGCATTTTCCGGAGGTGAAGGGGGCCCTTATCTGAAGTAAAAATGATTAACTTCTCGTACCTGAAAAGGGGCATTTACGAGAAGGGAAGTGCTTTTTTTATAAATTGAGGTAGCTATTATTATAAGGGGCATTTATGAAATTATAAGGTGCGCTTGTCCGAGTTAAAAGGGGGTAGTTATTAAAAGGGGAAGGGTCACTTCTACAACAAAGGAAAGAGGGCACTTGTCAAAGTAAAAGGGGCACTTTGTGGGTACTTGAAAAACGGGGGGGGGGGCACTGTACCGCTAGCTAAACGTAACACAAAAACAGTTTGCCATACATTCTATTCATTCTCAGCTTGCTACTCTTTCTCTTTTTTTAATGGAGGTATAGTTATCAATAGAAAAAGGAGCATTTGTGAAAATACCAGGAGCGCTTATCCGAGTTAAAAAGGGGTAGTTATTAAAGGGGAAGGGGCACTTTTCTATGGAAAAGGGGCCCTTTTGAGGTACTTGAAAATGTGGGGGGGGGGGGCACTGTACCGCTAGCTAAAAGTAACACAAATACAGTTGGCCATTCACTTATTCTATTCATTTCCGGCCTGCTACTGCTCCCTATAGCCAGTGGCTTAGATCCTTACGTAATACCTATTGTTCAAGGGGGATCCCCTTGAACATAGGATCCCCCTGAACAATAGACATTAGGCCTTGTAGCTAGGACAACGCCCTTTGCCCCCGCCGAGTGTCAATAGCAGGCCACATTCAGAGTAAGCTTTTTTTGTATGTGACAGGAAGTTTGCTATTAAGCCTTGACCGTAGCTCTCCATACAAGCATTACTATAGTGTTGGAATATATTCCGACGGCTATTGATACGAATATACATACAGGAACATAATTTGAAATTGTATATGCGTACAACTGCTTGTCTTTACATTTTCATTTCATAGGGAAAATAGAGGGGACTGATGAAATGATACATTTAGATAGAAAGGGAGAGAGGATATACAGTACGAGAGATGATGAAAATAGAGGAAAGCAGTGTCGCCGGGATGCGTTATTTTTTTATGCGGCACAGATTGGGGCTTTTTTTTAAAAAGGGGTCTTGATTTACAGACTAATACTGGTCGTGTGCGTACTAAACAGTAAAGGTAGTAGAGGTCCGTTTTTAATACTGTTACATTTAATCCACTACCGCATGGAAAATCATTACATCAACAATTAAAATCAAATTGGAAAACTGAAGAGGAGGCAGCACGTCAATAAGGAGAACATCACAATAATGAGTCAATAAAACTAACTTAAACGAAGAGGAGTGTTATCTAAACACATAGTTCGCGATGGATATACAAATATACAAACTTGCTAGCTAACATGACTAGTCTCACCTAAGTGCAGACACTATTCAGAAGGGAAAGAACGTACTTCCCATAGGTTTAACACGCGCCATACCCCAATCTGTGCCGCATAAAAAAAAATAACGCCGCCGGGATAGGGGGGGGGGGGGGGGGGGGGGAAGCAAAAAAAGAAAATAGGCAACATTTGTGGTTACCTCTTTATTTTTAATTTTTTTTTTTTTTGGCAGGGCTCGGGGCCAATTAGATACATATATATATACATCTAGCTAGGTTTACGAAAGGTCCTTGGTTTACGGTCAGCTGGGATGACGATCGTAGTCTGTAAATTTACAGCAGAAAAATCGGTGTTGTGACAAAATTAATATAGAAATTAAAATTGGAATTTACATTGCATGTACCTTAAAGTGAAGATAGGGATGTAAGTTTGTATACCTAGTGTTTTTTTATTTTTACTTTTCCCTTTTGTTGATTTATTTTTATTCAATACATCATTGTAATTATTTTTTCCCATTTCCTATAAATTACCTTCTATCTTTACGTCTCCCGATTTCTTTTTTTCTTGAAATCGATTTTTTTCCCCCCTCTCTTTTCCATCACCTACTTCATCTGCACCCACTAATTTTGTTATTCCATCTCTTATAAATGATGATTAAAAAAAAAAAAATGTTTTATTAAAAAATTCTCAATAATTTATAAATAATAAAACCTAACTTTTATAATATCTATTTTTCGGAATTTCATTGAAATTGGGGTGGGTGTGCATCTAAAACAAAAGAGAGAAGGTCATAGATCATTAGAGAGTGGGAGGGAGAAAAACTGAGTGAGAGAGGAATTGGAGAGAAAAAGGATGCAAGAAATGATGGATGTTGAAAGATGAGGTGTTGAAATTATAATTTTATCTTTTTGTAAATATATATGAGAAGTTAAAATATTTCTTAAATCCTTTTTAAATGGTCCGTATGTTCCAATACACATGGCATAGCTCTTTAACAACGACATTAAATAATCACAGATTTATTATGACATTTCCCCCCCCCCCCCCCAATTATGTCCCGAGTGGCGCTCTCAGAACAAAGGCGCGTAACAAAGTTAAATACATGAATATACGCGGTGTTTTGGAACTTTGGTGTTGATTGACATGACGCCTCATTTTAGATAGACAATCAGCCTATACAGTGCGTCCCAGTAAACACGAAACCGAGAATTGCCAATGTTTTATCATAACTTAATCACAATTAACATTAATAAATGAAACATATTTGTAGATCAGTGTAGGTCCACGATTAGAGAGAGAGAGATAACAAAACAAAAATTGGGGGGGGGGGGGACAAACATCCATAGAGTGGTGAAGTGTGACGTCATCAAAAATCTAATTTTAGAATTTCGCAATTTTTTTCTTCATTTTCCGAAATGGCATCAAAAATAATGTACAATTGTCGAAAACCAATTAAATATGTTAAGTATTAGCTGAGATATGACCATCTGAATAAATATATGTCCTATTGGAACTCAGTGTTATATGCTCTGGCTCATAATGGTTAGGAGCCAGAGCATATAACACTGAGTTCCTATGGGGAATATGTTTATTCAGATGGTCATATCTCAGCCAATACTTAACATATTAAACTGGTTTTCGACATTTGGGCATTATTTTTGATGCTCTTTCGGAAAATGAAGAAAAAATTGAGAAATTCTCAAAATAGATTTTTATGACGTCACAGCTTCGGTACTCTATAGAGAGAGAGAGGAAGATAAGAAAGGAGACATTGGTGATTCGAGATAGATTATCAAGAGAGAGAGAGATTAAAGGTGTAGTACCCAAATTACTGCCCACCTACCTGACCCATGCCCTGACCAGGGCAAGGAAGTGGTTGAATTGTTATGTTCCTTCTAATGATGTCGCTTGAATCCACATTGTCTTTGAAGAAATGATTCACCTACCTGAATAAATGTATACTGCGTCACTTCATCATCAGCCCATCACATCATCATCACCATCATCATGTTAGTATCAACATCATCATTATTTTTAAATGAGCAAATCTGATTTGTTGAATGAAACGCTTACAAAAAAGATATTAAAATAAAGCGTCTTTACTTACAATCGATTGCAACTATTTGTGCTACTTGGCCCAGCTCTATTATCATCACCATCGCTTTTCTTTATCATCATCGCGGCGAATATGCCAACTGTCACATATTCATGAGCTAGAAAAAATATTTATCTCCGTAACATACAACTGCTTTTCAGGACTAATAGTTTGTATTGGATATTGCTACATTGATAGCAAACTATTCATAATTGCATGCATATCATTATATTGGTATTGTATATGGGATATAATGTACAAACTGTACATCCAAATGAAGACTAAAGGATGACGAGGATGGTGTGCGATTCTGGTGAGGAACCAAAGGAGAAGAGGGCATAGACTGTAAAATTTATACAGAACTTGGTGGAAACAGGTAGGTAATTGATATTGTTCTCGAAGTATTCATCATAAAAATACATTCACTACTAATCGTAGTCGTAAATATTGGCTTGATTGAGGCAGTGAGGGATCTTAGCCTTGGTTATCACACCCCTAGGAATCACGGGCGGTTCGTGGCTTGACGTTTCTTGGTTGGAGTGGCAGGTAGTGTCTTGGTGCAGGGGGAGGATAATGATTAATTGTCTGTAAGAGGTAACTTGTGGAAACACTTACGTATGATTGGGCGGGCGGGGGGATTGGGGTAGCAGTAGTGTCTCAGGATAATGATCAATTATATGCTACCGGTAGCTTGTGAAAAAAAACTTACTTACTTTATTGATTGCAAGACAATAAAGCCATAAACACCCTCGTATATATATATATATATACATATTTTACAGATAAGAGAAATTAAAAACGAAAAACAAACATGTGGGTTATAAAGGGCCATAGATCATTGTGGAAGTAGACTACCGGTACTAGTATTCCTCACTTCATACCTAATTTATGCATAGTTTTATTAGTTAAAAACAAAACGGGATTTTAAATCAGAACAAAGCATGCATAAAAAAGTAGTAGAGCCTACAAACAATGAGTCATTTTTCAGAAAATCCGTTGTGAAAAACAAGGAAAGAACTCGAAATAGCATTAATTATTTTTGAGACTGAATATCATCATAATAATCAAGTGACAAAGAAACAAGATAAAATGAACACCAGCAAGCTAAACTGAAAACACGAGCAATGCTCGAAATGCGTCTGAAAAGCATGCAGGGCAACAAAATAAAAACATGTCAAACTATAACTGCAACAACAATTATAACAACACCAACAACAGCGAGGCCGTAGCGCTGACGGTCTACACCGCCATAGATCTCCCGTTCCGCCCACGTCAATTTGCCTATTACGCTCGGCTAGCTCCTCCCCTTCTCTAAAGCAGTCGCTATGCGGAAGTAGCGTTCCGCTAGCTACTGTGCGACGTGCTGGTAAAAAAAAGTGTGACATAAAAAGACAGATATTGGAGGCATTTCCGCTGAAAAATTAACCAGGTTTTGAGGGATATATCTCGGGAATGAAGCAATTGTAAGTCATGAAAATTGACATATATCATTTGGATGGACATTTCTGAATTTTTGTGTTTAAAAATAGTGAATTCACAGGAAAATCGCTAAGTTAAAAAGATCGTTCTTCGTGATTGTATTCGACCACGTTGTGAGCAAGTTTCCCACGCTGCTATAC